AAGAAAATTTTAATTTATAAAACCTATAGCTGTAAGAATATTCTTAGATACAATTGATAAGCTAATTTGGCTGTGAAGACTAAACAATAACTGTGACGAATTTTATACAATATAATGGTTTTTGCAGAAGAGACAATAAATTAAAATGATTCTGTATGTTCAAAATTATGTAGCAACATTGTAGGTTGGGAAGAAACGTGTCCCCAACCTTTTGGTATAGTTTTAGATATGGAAAAAAAGACCTCCTTTTTTTGTGTAATCGTAATACTTCCAGAACATATTTTTCTGTTTTTGCACATCCAAAAAAGAGACGAGTCCTTGTTTTCTCTTTTAAAATAATATTGGTATCCTGAATCGAGGAGAATGTTTTTGCCACGTTGGCTCTCAATTATTTGAAAATTCATGTTCAAAAGCTGTGGGTATAATTTTATTATCGGAACACTGTTAACACTTTCGAAATAAAAACACAACTAATATTAAACTGCAAAAAATTGGTATAAATACCAATTTAAGGTGTTTTCCATAATGACTATTTAAATACCTCTTTATATTAATTGTAAATAAATGAAGGATTAAAAAATGACAATTTAAAGCCTTCTTTATAATTGTAAATAAATGAAGGATTATTATCTTATTTGCAACCAAAATAGCTTTGGTTACTTTCTAATCCTATGCTTAAATATCCATTTGCTAAAGCCGCATTAAGCAAGTCCCCAGTTGAGAATTCTGCTCAGGTAAAAATTTATCGAGTCCCGACTTGCAACACTTTCTACCTCCAAAAGGGTAGAGTCACCAGTTGAGAAGTTCCGAGTTGAGAAGACACCGGAGTCATAAGTGGCTGGAAGAAATAAAAATGATAATTTACTTGTAGTTTTTAGATTTTTGCTATTTTAACTAATTTAGCAGGGACCTCGTTATCACGGACGTGTGACGTATCCCTGTCTTTGTCGGTCAGTTAGAAATATTTGTGTAAATTACCCCTTATTATTTTCGCCAAGTTCTCAGCTTTCAATAAGTTTATTTAAATTAATGCTAATCACAAAAATATGCATACAAAAAATGTATTTTTACTTTAACAAATCGCTTCTTTGCGAAAACAACGTGCAATTTTACAGGAAAGGGGTTTTAACTTTTGAAAAATTATAAAATGTTAGATATGCATATAAATATACATAAATTAATTATCAAGTGTTATATTAAAAATGACAAAGACCCTATAAATTGATAGAAATTGAGACAAAATAGCAGTTTTAAACAAAAATGAAAATATGCCTCGTTATTGCTGAAAATACTTAAAAAGAACGATGTACCAAGTGAACTTGTCACATTGTAGATGATAATATTTTTATTTTTTAATGAATTATATAATAAAACCACATTGTCGAAATTAGAAACATTTATTAACCCGTAGAAAAACTTGTAACAAAATAGGGCTATCTAACTATAAACTATACTATAAATAGTCAACGCTTAACAATCAATCTTACACAGTTAAAAACAACTTTTTATGAAATGCTAAAACTAAAACAATACAAAATTTAACACTCGTGTATCAAAAATTAAAAATGAGATCACTCATTACAATAACTTTAAAGTTTGGTAACGATTTTAATAGGTACATACAGCTGTTAACATGATTACAATGTGTATGACACACTAACTAAAAGTAACATTCTCAAAAAAGCTCAAAAATAAAATTTTCACTTATCATAGTAAAAAATCAGTCTCAACATTAAACTTAAAACTTACAAGGCCTCATAAAATGGCTTATGATACCTTGGGATGAGGTTTTTATTAAACAAATCCATGATGTCACATTTCTTTTTTTCAGCTAATCCAGGTTTATGACTGTAAGCTCTTTTTAAATCTAAATTTAGATTATTATTTTTCTTCTTTTTTAAAACTATTGCCATTTTAAATTGTTCATCGGCGTACGAATTTTTAAAAAATATTGCATTTGCACTGTCTTTTTTTACTTTTATTACCTTTATTCCTGATAATTTAACTGTATTATTTTCTTCGTCTTTCAGCAATGCAAAGTTCATTTGATTGCACATATTTTTCCAATCATAGATGTCTTGGAAGCACATTTCATGAACATGGATTGGTTCGCTCTTTTTTCGGGCAGCTTTAATAGCACCAATAAATGCGTCGGGGGTGTACATGGGACCAGATCTCAATTGTCGTTTTACCTCTCTTTCAATTTGGGAATGGGCAGAGTCCCCCTCATTTTGTGTGTGGCCTTTTATTAAATATTTATGGGTAATTGACTTTAGATTTGAAAAGGTTTGCACAGCATATAGGTACATCGCAACCATAAATTAATTTTTTTGTTGTCCAGCACACTTGTCCGAATAAAACACTACATCCAGATCGCGGGCCGTTTCCGAAACCTTCCTGAGATATCTGAAGACACAAGTAGCAATTTCGTTTACACCTCTATTTGCATTGGATTCATCCCATACAAAACTGTCCACAAGATTATTCTGAATATTGTAAACTGTAAAGTTAAAAACATTTAGCTTAGATTTATAATAAAATAAGGATATTTCACCTTTAGGGCATTGGAAGACTGCTTGGAGATCATATACGGCGACTAAAATATTTTTGTTGTTCTTGTCGTTTTCTTTCTCGATCCGTGATAATTGCTTTTCTCTGTGATGTTCCTCGTACTTTTCTTTTTCCAATTCCTTTTCTTCTGGTGAAATATTTTTATAAGCTTCACAAACCTCGCATAAATCTTTCTTAGGAACAAAGAATGAAATGTTAAACTCTTGTGTGAATATGCGATAGAACATCACATACGTTGCAAAAGAGGTGTTTTGAGACTTACAATGGTCCACATAGTCTCTATGCAGCTCTGTAATAGCTTTGCTACCATCTATATAGTGTCTTTTAGAGTTTGCCCGAATATAGTGCGACTCAATTTTCGGTATTGACTCTATAAATGTCTTAACGCCAATTTTAATACTTTTATCCACCCTGCTGTGGTTCTGATGACATCCTCGATTATCCTTCATTAAAGTTATATTGGTATCTTTATTTTTCTTTTTTAGAGCAGTTTCTATAGGCCGATTGTTAATTGCTAATGTGTTTTTAAAAAACAATTTACAAACTCTGGTCTTAACACCAGAAATCGTCAAATAAAAAGCATTATTGTTATTGCGCTTAATTGCAATGTTTCCGTCTGGACTTACCTTGACGTATCGATGTTTTGGGACAACTACGTCGACACTGTTTGCAATAAACGACCACTGCTGTTCGATTTCACCTAAATTCCAATATTCTTCTAAGATTTGTTGTCGTTGCTCCTCTGTGACTTTTGATCTGCATTTAAACGTACAATTTTCTTTGCAGGCTGGTTTTAGGTGACGCTCAGGAATCGTTTTATTCGTTTTTGATGATTTGTATGATTTTCCGCAATTTCTTAGTCGCTTTGCAATATTCTTTTTCCAGTCTTTTTCTCGCCTTAATCTTTTTTTTACCCTTTTTAGTTGGGGTACAATCCGATTTATTATCTACTGAAGTAGTGCTAACATTTTCAACTGCAGGCGATTCGGTTTCTGATGTGAGCAGATCTTGTTTGGGCGTTGTGTTAAAAGTAGTTATAGAAGTACAAAAATCTTGATGCTTGGAAACTTCGTTGTTTACATTGTCATCTTCATCATCCGATGCTGAACAACTTCTTATTCGTTTTGGTTTTACAATTTGATAGTCGGGGTCTTTAACGGAATCATCGCTATCTACGAAACAAAAATGTAGGTAATCAAACGTATAATTATTAGGTACTGATACATAATATTAGATATCGAGTAAATAAATAATGTTTTATTGAATTCTTACATTTGTGGAAAGACGAACCACTGCTGGATGAACTGCTACTACTAGTCGATGAACTACTATTACTAGTCGATTCAGAACGGCGCCGTTTGTCGAGTGTTGAGTCTTCTTTATCAAAAAAAAAGTCAAATAAATATAACTACAATAACAACCTACGGTCCAAATTAAAGAAAATACCACTACCAGTTCGCCATATATTAGCTATCTAGTTATCCAGTCCAATTCACTTATCCTAAATACAGCGATAGGCGCTCCAAACATTAACATTAAAAAATATCACTTACCTAATGGAACTATTGAAACACTAGAAGCCCCACCTTCTTCAACTTGGATATTGGAATTATTATTAGTTGTTTTCATTTGAGAACTAGAACTACTATGTTGATTGTCACTTAAAAAGTTGTTTTTTGCTACTATAACTAGGTTTTGACAGCGTGTTAACGTTTTACACCGCGACTCCATCTGAAAAAATAAGTCTATATAGTTTGTTGTCTTTGTGTGAACAACGTGACATAAATAATATGTTTTACATTCCAATAAAAAAAATATCAGAAAAAACGTAACAACAAAAAATAACAAAAACTCATTTTTTGTTTTAGCAAACCATTCAGCATCAACAATGTTTCATCTTAAGATATCACAATGTAAAAGTGTTATATTTTCAATAACAACGTAATATTAGTTTTTATAACACTTTGCAATCGTTACGTCTTTTCAAGAAGACCGAGTTAAATATCTATTATCACATTGTATAATAAAAAACATAATTATATTGAAACATACCTTTACAACCAAACCGAAGTATCATCGAGATGTTACGTTTTTGCAGAAAAACAAGAGAACCTTACACTTTGCGTATTATGGAACAACTGAATTGACACATTGTTAAAACAGAACACTCGTCTGACAGAGACAACGCGACAACGGCATATACCACTTCAGCGTTTTCTTTGTCGCTCATAGATTCGCTGTAACAGATACCGCGTTTTCGTAGTAAATAAAGTTGAAATAGGTGCTTCTTATTTACAAATAAAAAAAAATCACCTTTTACGATATGTCACGTTGTTCTCGCAAAGAGGCGAAATATGAAATAAATCAGGATAACTTTTGGTTACCGAAATAATTTTTCGTTTTTCATAATTTTGAATTATTATTTTTAGGTGATACAACAAAACTTTCAACAACTGCCGATGCAACAGGATCAAAATCTACACTCTAATACGGTAAATGGTAGAAATGTCTAATTAGATAAAACCATTGATCATTATTTTATGAATTTCAGATGCAAGCACAACAACAATTTCAGAAGGTGCAGTAAATCGAGCAAATATTTCTTAATATTTTTCTGAAATTTTTAATTTAATTTTATAATTTTCAGATGCATTTTGATCAAGGATCTCAAAGTAATCGACAGCAAGAAAGACCACACTCTTCGTCGCAATTTAAACACCAGAATGAGCAATCGGTAAATTGTTACTATTTTCATTTTATCATTGTTATAATATTGCATTTTACAAAGGAACTGAAAATATAAATTCAAGATCAACAGAAACAGCAAGCAAATAAAGTATTATAATAAAGTAAATTTTACAATTTTCTAGGTTCAGAAACACTGGGAAAATGAAGTGAATTTGGAAGAAGAGAAGCAAAAAGTACTGCAAGAAATTCAAACGCTATATGTACATAATAAGCATAATACGGTAATTAATGACTACTCCTATTTTTGTATCTTTTCAATCAATGTTATATTATATTCAGATTCCAACTCAACTGGAAAGTCAATCTTCAATCGTCAATCTTCCAGACCAAACAAATCGACAGGGACTACTGCAAAGTCAACAGCTACATTTTCAGCAGAATAGACAGATGCATCAGAATAGCCAATTCCTGCAAACTGAACAGCCGTATCACAATAGACAGTTGTATCAGAATGTCCGTCCGCTATATAATGTAAATGATCACTAATGTCATCGGAATAATCTTTCTTATCATTGATATTATTATTTTTAGGTTCAATCTCAACAAGGAAACAGTTGGGAAACGCAAAAACAACTAGCAATGCAACAGTTTCAACAACTAGAGCTAAATCAGTACATGCAACATCAGCATTATACGGTAAATAGTCACTAAGATGGTTATCCGTATTTAAAATGTGGTTCGTCCCAATAATGAAAAGACAACTCAAAGTCTTAGCACAATATATATTATTATATCATTACATATTAGAATATTTTCATATGCAATTACAGCAACTAAGTCAAAATATTTTGGACCAAGCAAAAGAGCAATTAGCACTCCAACTTGAATAGGTAGAGGTCCAACAAAGTAGGCAGTCGCAGCAAAATAACGAGATCCTATAGAATGGATAACCGCGGCAAAATATAGTAAACTGTTGCCTTGATAATGTTTTTATAGGTTTCATGTACCTTGCAAATGCAATCTTGAGGAAGTCTACTTGTGTGGAAAGAGAAAAACAACAAGCATCGCTTTAATTTCAACACCTACAAATGCATCAGAATGAACAGTGTGATTTAGTAAATAGTTATTTAGAAAGTACGGGGTGATTCCACCATACCTCTAGTCTTGATTTTTAATCGGGATAACGTCGTCGCCCTATAATAAAATCAATTACTTCCGGAATTGTACATTTAATGACAGTGTTATAAAAAGTAGTGATGCCGCGAGACAAGACGAAACGAGAGAGTGGCCTAGTCTCGTAGAGCAAGAGGAAACTGTTCTCTCGTATCGACGAGAAGGCGCTTCTCTCGCTCGATACAGCCGTTCACTCGTCTTTTCTCGTTTCTCTCGTGATAAAACAATATCAAATTTAAAAGGCGAAACATGAGAAAATTGTAAAATTTGTAAGAGAAAAACAAAGAAATTTTCAAGTAATTTGCGCATTAGTACCCAAATTTGTCAATAAGAAACACTTATGTCTCTCTGTCTGTCCGTCTATCACAGTAGTTTTACAATTGAAATTTGAAGTAATAATTGGCCCAGATTAGGCGTTAACTAAAAACGAAAATACTTTGTCTTGTAAGTCAGTTGGGGAGGGGGGAAGAGGTTAAATTAGAAGTTAGAATTTTGCTAATGCAATCCTGCGATGTCTAATGAAAGCAATTTGTAATATGTTTTCAAAATGTAAGAAGATAGAGAGATAAAACAAAAACGATGTGAAATAAGAGAAAAATTATGATATTTTTGTTATAATAAGATGCACTTATCTTGAGACGTAAAATAGAGGGTGTTATTATCTTTAAATTTTTTAATGGAAAGTAAAGTGATGTAATACCTCATTTGAAAGATATTTTAATTATATTTACGTCCCAGCAAACAGTTTTAATTTTTTTGTTTTAACATGTTAGAAGTTAATTTTTTAATAACCTTTTTTAGTCCAAGAAGTTATGAAAAATTTAATACGTCAATTTGATATTTTTAATTTATTTATTTTAGTAAATACAAAAAGCGTTTCCTTAGTAATAAACAATAATTGTTAATACGAGAGTTATTAAGGATGTAACTCATTAGTAAAGGCCCAGAACATGTCTGTATAAGAACAAAGTACCAGCTACAAAAAATTGCCATTTGTGCAGTGCTAAATCCCTCTAAGAGTAAAACATTACTTAAATTTATAAAAGATACTGACATTTACTCTGTACTAGCCAAAATTTTAATTATCCATTGTATACTATTGTAAAAAAACAGCATTTATAAGGTATTGTACCTCCGGTAATGAACCTTTGAGGTTAAAGCGGTAAATAAAAAAAGAATTTAACCTACTTTATGAATTTATTTAATGTAATTTCTGTAAAAACATAAAAACCTAAATCTGTTTACATGAACGTAAAAATATAGAAAATATCTTACAAATCAGGTATCGCATGACCCTACTTTCCATTAGAAAATTTAAAGCTAGTAACACCCTCTCTCTTACGTGTCTCAAGTAAAGTGCATCTCGTTATAACAAAAATATATCTCTTGAGTTTTACCTCTTTTTTCATTTAAAAGTTAAAATAGAGGAGGTACAATTTTCGTCCTTACTGTATATAATACATTCGTTTGTATTACCTTTTCTTTGACAGTTTTTCGAAAAAACGCTTATTCATTTTCAACATATCTTCAAAAGTAACCTCAGAAAAGCAGAATGGATTAAATATAAGAAATGATTGTATAAATTTTAAATAAAGAAATGAAAAATATTTTTTCTTATAAATCACTATTTATAAAATCCTAATAACACAACATCATTTGTTACCATTTAATATATTGTTATAAACGAAGAGGGTATAATTATTAATTAAAATTAAAAATCCAAAATATTAGTAAACACCACTATAATCGTATCAATATTTAATACAAATACACAAGCAATGACAACGAGTAGCCAGTAATTCTGCGCAGAGAGATCGACCACGTTGATTGTACTTTTCAGAATAATCCTGTGAAAGTGTGAAACACCAACATGATGCCGACGAAAAGACCGGGGTATTCACGCATCGTCATCAATACGTGCTTATCTCCCTGACCAGAGGCGACTCTAGGTAAAATTGCTAACAATATATAGAATGTCTGTTATAGTTAACTTTTTGACTATTTCAAAATCTAATGAGTTAAAATTTTAAGTTACGATAAGCAATTGAAAATTTCAAATAAGCAAAGAGAAAATTATTCGAGATAGCCCGAGAGAGCTCGAGAGAAACGAGAAATTCTCGTCGAGAGATGACACTCTCTCGTCTCGTCTCGAATCTATTTTCGAGAGAAAATGTCTCTCGTCTCGTTCGAGACGAGACAAGACGAGACGAGAGACGAGAATCTCTCGTCTCGCGGCATCACTAATAAAAAGCAACCAAATCAAATTCTAAATGTATCCTACATACACTAAATAAATGGGGGCTTGTTCGGAAAAATACTCGAACACGTAGATTGTTATTTTTAGTTGCTCATTTTTTAAGAAAAAGTTTTTATACATGGTGTATATTTTTAATAGTGACTAATTTTAACTTTCCTATTTTAAAAGCAATTTCCTGTATATTTTTCAATTTTTGGATTTTTAGAAAAATCTAGACATATTTTATGTACTATGTCATATACATAACTGTTTCGAAAATATTTACGATTTATTGAAAAAATAAAATTAACATTAACAAAATAAAATTACAGAAATTCGTTACAACATAGTCAATACTTATTTCCCATTTAGGTCTTGATAATGATAAAGTAAGCAAAACTATTTCAGCGTTCCTTTTTACTAATATGAAATAAAAAATGCTATACTTAATAGGTTTATTTACTTTTGTTTATAACGCCTAACCTTAGAAAATTGTTATCTGACTGCATTACAATAGTTGTCAGTGTTATAGTCGTTTGAATTTCCTTTACTGCTTATCACAAAACTGGTTCATTTAACAGAAATGCACAAAATAACAATTATACGGATGATTAGTTATATAGATAACATGGACACAAATGGAAGTTGCTCGCTTATTTCATAAAAATTTCCAAATTTGTGCGTACATCCCAAGGGACAATAAGTTAAATAGAGAAGCTGTTTCGCGAGCAGATAAAAAAACAGCTGCCAATGCAAAAACTAATGATACTAAATTGTAGATTATGCTTGAGGTTCAGGAAAATTCACATACTTCTAATAGACAAGCAGGCCCAATATTTGATATTAACCGTTCATCGATTATTCGAACATTAGAAAAAATAAAAAGCATATTTATAACAAATGATGGCAAAGTTAGCTAATACGGTGATCCAATTAGAACATGTTTTATTTTCTGATGAATGTACCTTTACACTTCACGGTCATGCTAATCGTCAAAATTGCCGCTATTGGTATAAGGAAAATCCTCACTGAATGAGAGAAGAACATTCGCAATACCATGAATTGTTGGCGTTCATATCATAGGTACCTTTTTCATTGATGGCAAATGGAATGGCGATAATTATTTAGCACAGATCTAAAATAATGCCCTGCCAACTTTAACGAACTTATATCCCGATCCAGTAAACTCACAAGTTCTAGCGAATATGATATAGTTTCATCAAGATGGTGCACCGCCCAATTATCAAATCAATGTCCGGCAGTACCTAAATCGAGTATTTCCAAATAGGTGGTTAGGGAGGCGAGGATCGATAGAATGGCCAGCACGATCCCCTGATCTGACATCATTAGACTTTTTCTTATGGGTATATGTAAGAAATATTGTATGCAAAATTAAACTTCTCGACCTAGCTAACTTGAAAAGACGAATAACGCTTGCGATTAGATCGCACGTCTGAGATGTTAAATAACTTTAGAAGACATTTTTATTTCTGATTAAGATGTTGCCAACAGGTTCGCGGCGAACATTTTAAACATCTCCTACTTTGTTTTTTTTTGTTACATTATCAAGAATTAAGCAGTATTACTAATTAGTTTTTGAGTCTGTTGTAACTAATTTCTGTAATCAAGTTATTTTATTTTATTATTGTTTATTTTTTGCAATAAATCGGAAAATATTTAATATTGCTACATTTGTAAGTGAAAATGGACACAATCTGGAATAAAATGGACAAAATGTGTTTATAATGTCAATTTCTTCTTGCAAAATTTCATCTTGCAGTATTAAAAATGCCAAAGCAAATTTATTTTTATAATTATTTGACCCACTCATCGCGATGATCAGGACGCAACTGACAATCCTAGTAAAACATTTTTACGCAACGCGTTGGATGTTGCGTTGCGTAGGCCGTATTACGTTCTACGCTGCGTAAAATATGCGTTGTTAGGAAAACGCCGCTTACAAAAACTGAATTTCTTTTTGTTATTATCAGTAATTGCGTTTTAAAATTACTACATTACTGCTGTTGTTGTTGATGAATTGTTTAATTTTCGGAGAATTACATAAATTTTGTAAGAATTGACTTTAGTTTTTTATCGAGAGGCATATTATGTTGATTTAACTAAAGATGGCTGAAACCAAGCATAAATTTAATAAAATTTGGATTACGGTCCATATTTCTCAAAAACCGTCATTAAATGCTATTGTGTAATACACGGCTGGATGCAGGATGAAAAGTTATTTCAAATAATGTTATAAAATATCCAGGTCCATATTAAAAAAAAAAAA